CGCCTTTCGTTTAGGTGTTGGGGTTGTAGGGTTTAGGATTCAGGGTTTAGGGCTTAGCAATTAGGATTCAGGGTCTAGGGTTTAGGGATTAGGGTTTAGGGTTTAGGGTTTAGGGATTAAGGATTAGGGTTTAGGGTTTAGGGTTTAGGGCACATCTACAGAGCTTCGGGTTTCGGGTTCGGGGCTTCAGCCTTAGAGACCCAGATTCGAACACTTTGCTAAAGACGTACAGGTAGGGTTTAGGGTTTAGGGTTTAGGGTTTAGGGTTTAGGGTTGACTGGGCATGAAGTCAGGGTTAGGACTTGAAGTGGTAACTGCAAGTAGGGCCCAAATATCCCTCAAGACGAGCCGTCAAGGTCCCTTGAGCCATGGTAAGGCTGACACGGGTATTCGGTGTTCCTTTGAGTTGCAAGATGAAGTCCCGAAGCCCCCAACACCAAAGCATACACTCTAAGCTCTTAGCCCTGAGCCGCAAGCCCATGCATGGCACAGGTGAGCATGAAGTTGCGTTCACCTGGCTCCGATGAGCTCTCAGCAAATGCTTCCTTTGCCAGTAACTGGTCTGCATCACCGCTTGCCGGCCCTAGAACTGCAGGGATTGAATACAGGCATCGGAATAGTGCGAGAGAGAGAGAGAGAGCGCAAGGTTTCCGACTCCTGTGCTTTGCTTGTTTCTGCACCTTATCATGGTTCCTGTGCTTGGCTCAGGGTGTTGGGCTGGGCGAGGGGGGTGTAGTTTAGGGTTTGGGATTTGGGATTTAGAATTCTAGTTTGCGACGGGTTGAGCAAACCCTGAACCGAACCTCGTTCTCGAAGCGAGTCCTGGGATGGCGGACGGCTTATTGGGATTTTCCGAAAAAGAAGGGGTGCCGTATATAGGGGTCCGTATCGTAAGGATCCTACTTTAGGGTGCCCTATTTTCGGACACCCTTATCATGTCAAGTGCACAGATTTCCTGGTCTGCCAAAAAGATTGTTGAGTTGAAGTTCAATCTGAGAGCCCTGAAACCAGTATCTTCGGGATAGTATTCTCCTTTCTAAGACAATTACCAAATATAGACTTGCATCCGGAGCAGAGGGTTGGAGGATCTAGGGTTGAACGGTTTAGGCTTTATGACTTTGCGGGTTACGGTTCCAGGATATGGGTATTTGAAGAGGATTCGTCTAGTGAAAGGCTCTGAATGTAAAGAGATCATTGCGTGTTACGTCCCTGCTCGTGTTCAGTGTCGGTGCAGAAGATGTAAAGTAGAAGCCAGAATTCCAACACGTGAGATTTGCATGATGACCCTTCGTCTTCTCTTTTGCACTCGGTTCTCGTCAGGGTTGGGTTGGAGATCTTGGTGTACCAATTTTCGTGCCCCAGCAAGAGCCCTGATCTTTGCTGAGGCGGCGTCGCTGGGTTCGTGCGGAACCACAGCAGAAAATGCATTTTTCTGGTACTGTGGCTCGGCTATGAGCAGCTTTAGGATTTAGGGTTTATAAGGGGTTAAGGGTGTAATTAGTCCTGGACCCTGAACCCATAACCAGATTTCTTGCGGATATGGGGTGCTATGGGGTTTGGGGACTGAGGGTCGTCGGTTTTGGCCGGGTTTCAGCGTTTCACGTGCTTGGCTCGGTCTGTGGTGCTGTGCGCGAGATGAGATGTTGGGTTTCAGGTTTGGGGTCCAATCTGGGGGCCTAAATACTTACCTATATTTTCTTGGGGGTTCGTTATTATACTTATAGTATAACGGGCCCCAAAACCCTATTCGAGCTTTAACGCCCCTACATTACTGCGGGTTTGATGATTTAGATTGGCTTGGGATCGTTGCATCCGCTGGAGCATGGCAGTAGGCCTGCCTGCCCCTGACTTCTGGTACCTAATTTCTTAGGGGTACTTAGAAATACATTTTAATCTTCGGCTACTATAAACCCTAAGACGCCAAAAATTATATTTTTTTTGCTAGGGGTCTAAGTTCAGTATAGACCCTAAACCCTAACCCCAAATCCCTAAACCCCTAGATTTGCGCGAGACTAGTCCAAGGCAGGCCTTGAAATAGGATCCTATAGACAAGACACATAAGAACCTGCGCAATGACACCTCTTCCCCACGGTTTAGGGTTTAGGGTTTAGGGGCGCTATCCAAAGCTCTTATCAATTCAGGAAGGGCCAGGTGCAAAGATCCCTAGCAAAGCCCCGATGAAGGAACAAAAATGTATTAGATCCCCATCCAACCAGTACGTCCACAAGCTCTAGCCCAAAGGGTCCAAGTTATAGTATAGTATATACTTCTAGGGCCCAGATACCTACAAAGTAGCTACCATATTACTACTTGGGCCCTTGGGTAGCATGAATTTGTTAAACAGCATCTAAACCTTAAGCCCTAACCCCTAGACCCTACAGTAAACCCTAAGCCCTAAACCCTAAACCCTAAACCCTAAACCGCCCTAAACCCTAAACCCTAAACCCTAAACCGCCCTAAACCCTAAACCCTAAACCCTAAACGCGTCTACACCTCCGCACGCAGGTTTGGCCTGGCGTTCGTTGTGGCAGCAGGGCCCCCTCTGGGGAACTTGCGTCAATCCTTCAGCGAGGTCGCCTCGACCCTAAACCCTAAACCCTAAACCCTAAACCCTAAACCCTAAACCCTAAACCCTAACTAAACCCTAAGCCCTAAACCCTAACTAAACCCTAAACCCTAAAGGGTTTAGGGTTTAGGGTTTAGTTCGCCTCAGGGTCTAGGCGGTCCTTGTCCAATGAAGCTTTTTAATACTACCTAAAGTCTCCATTGCAGTTCCTTTTTGGGGTTCCCTTATAGGATCCTAAATATAAAATTGGTTTAACCAAAAAAGGAACTACAATGGAGACTATAGGTAGTTGTAATCGAGATTTAAAGATCTAAACGAAAATACTTGTAAGAGCAACAACAACAATAGCAGCAGCAATAACAACAACATTGGTTGTATGCTGTTAACACTGCTAAGGCACAGCATGCTGCTAGTGTTGGTAATGTGGATTACCACCTAGTGGTCGAGGGTGTAACCTTTAACATCATTGGAGCAGTATGGTTTGGGATTTGGGGTAGTCTAACTAGTTTCAGCTACTCTTGAAAAACCCTAAACCCTAAACCCTAAACCCTAAACCAAACAGTCTTCATCGTGCGCCATCTTGTCATGCAGGGAATCGCATCTTCAGTTTCATCGGATACAGACTTCTGGACTTTACTGCTGCATCTACCGAGACACCCGGCTACACCCCAAAGCCTGTTCCTTAAACAGACAGCATCCCTGAACCCTAAACCCTTAACCCTTAACCCTAAACCCTAAACCCTAAACCCTTAACCGTCGTTCACTAGGAAGAAGGAGCAAGAGTCCCCCCTGCCATGTCGCCAACTAGAGGGATGGGCGTCCATTCGGGTCTGAGGGCCAGGGTTGGTTTCGGGTTTAGGGCTTACAGGGTTCAGGGTTTAAGGGTTTAGGGGTTTAGGGTTTAGGGATCAGGGTTCAGGGGTTTAGGGATTAGGGTTTAAGGGGCTCAGGGTATAAGGGCATAAGGGTTCAAGTACTTAGGGCATAGAGCGGTTCAGGGGAAAGGCGATCAGGACAGGAAATGCGCAGCGTGTCATGCGATTACATGTGTGTAATTCTCTAAATTAGGGTCCGGTTAGGGTCCTTCTTTATCAGGGTGCCGTACTAAACTGGGGACTTAAAAAGGGACCCCAATTCAGAGAACTACCCATCTGCCGAGCCTTCAACTCTCCACCTTAAGGTGGATCCCAATAATCACAGTTTGATTTAGGTTTAGGTTTTAGGGTTTAGGGTTCAGGGTTCAGGGTGCACAGTGTTGCGGCCTCCCATGTGGTCTATCCCAGACCTATTGGAAGAACCAGCAAACTCGGGGTTTCGGCTGCAGCACTAAGCCTTAAACCCCAAAGCCTCATCTCTTGTGAGCCCTTGGTCGAAGGAGCGCGTTGCCTCCATCAACGCGCAGCTGCTGAACCTTACGCCCCAGGCCGGTCGAGCTTTTATGTCGCAGGGTCTGCGACTTCGGTTTGGGGCGGTGTTATGTTCAACCCTAGGGTTCCAGTTACCTAAATAGTAGGTTACTGGGGTTCATAATATATGGTTAGTAACCTACTGTTTAGGTAACTGGAGCCCTTGGGCAAGGCTGTGGCGATTGGGTTTTGGGCTTAGTGTCACGGTGTAGTGGTCAGGCCTCGGGGTATGTGCTGCCGGCGTCATGCGAGTTTAGTGGCCCTTCGCAGCTGAATGGAGTGGTCGGACGCACTACACTTTTTGGAAGCGAAAAGTCCATCTGGTCCTAGCTATTTCGGTTGACTTCGAACCATGTATATGAGTCCCTAATCTAGTACCCTAAATAGTAGGATCCTAGTATAAGGACCCCAGAATAAGGTACCCCTTAGTTTCTGAGACCCCCATATATGAGAATCCTTCTTCTCAGATCCTTCCACCCGAAGCTCTTAAGCCGAAAGCCCATCCAGGAAATTCTACGCTGGGCACACCGCGCTTTGCCCGGGCGCGTCGTCGCTGGGGCGATTGAGCTTTCAAGGGTCGTGGTTTTGTTAATGTAGGGGCCTAAATAATTACCAATACCATTTTGGGGACTCCTTACTATCATTATAGTATAATGGGCCCCAAAGCCCTATTCTAATTGTTAAGGCCCCTATGTTAGGTTCTTGGCTCGGTGTACTCCTTGAACAACTAACTGCCCATCTATCACCCCACTACGGATGACTTTGTCAGGTAACCTAGCAGCCGGAACAAAGGTCCAACATTATGCTTTAGGGGTCCTTACTTTTGTTATAGTATCTATGTGTTTGTATATATATATATATACACATATGCACATATATATATATAATATATATATATATATATATATGGGCACCCGCAAGCATTTTCTAATTCTGAAGGCCCTTATCGTATGATAGATCCTGGACTTAACCTGTAGTAGGCTCTCGGGTAGTCACTGGTTGGTGACTGAGCAACCCAAACCCCTAAACCCCTAAAC